TTGTCAAATGAGTCCTCTTGAGAATCATTAAAGGTAAGTATTTACTTATCTTTATTTTTATAGATCGGGAAATAGGCTCAGGGAGGTTAATTATCTTCTCTAAGACCTCACAGCTTAAGTTGTGGAACTGGGTTTTTCTGTCCCTGAATACTTTACTCTGGCACTAAGATATTGATGATGATTATCATTCTCAACAGAATTGTTTAAAGTACATTTCTAAGAAGTTAATATTAAATACTATTCCAACATTAATAGAATTTAAATTACTTTTTATACTAAGATATTTTATACTAAGATACTAAGAGACTAGATCAAAGTTAAATAATTAAATAATAATCAAAGTCTTTTTTTCTTGCTGTTATGTTTTTTTCTATTAAGCATTATAGCTCATTTTATAGAAAATAATTTCAGTGTGAACTACTGAAATATTCTGTATTGAACTCAGTATTGAGTTCCTTTTTTAACTATTTATGAAATACTTCCTTTGAACTGAATGGCCTGTGCTACTTACTGTTCAAATCTAAAAGAAGTAGACAAGAACATGGGCTCTGTAGTTATTTGGCTACATGTTAGAATCCGAGCTCTGTCGCTTAGTAATTACTAAACTTCTCCTGATCTCCAGTTACCTCAACTATTAAATAAAATACCTGTAATAATAACATCTATCTCCTAGAGTTGTTTTGAATATTAATTGAGGTAATATATATTGATAACATACCTATTATAGTGCTATACACATTGTAAGCAACAAATACATAAAAGCTGCTATTGTTATTGTTAAGGTAATTATTAATATGAAGCTTTCTCTCCCGAAAGATAAATACTTAGAAGACCTGAACCCACCACTGCCATCAAATCAATTGAGACTCATAGTGAGCCCTATTGGGTTTCCAAGGCTGTAAATCTTTATGGAAGTAGATTGTGTCATCATCCTCCTGTAGAGTGGCTCGTAGCTTTGAACCACTAACCTTCTGGTTAGCAATCAAATGCCTTACACACTGCGCCACCAGAGCTCCTTAAATAGAAGACAGAGGAAGCAATAAAAAACACTGAAAAACCCTAGGTTACTCAGTATCTTAGTTTTTCTGCCTACAACATAGAGGCAAATATTTTACTTTGATCAATCAGTAAGTGCATGCAAGAATACTCATCTTGTCTACTTGGTAAGGCTGTTATGATCCATTGAAACCACAAAATTTTCTGAAACTATAAAGCTGTGTGTCAGAGTGAGGGGTTGGTAGAGTTGTTTATGTGTTTGTTTTAATCTGATTGCACAATACGTGCTTTTTTGAAATGCTTTCTGTAAAGGTGATAGGGATGGCTAGAGATAGACGTTGTTTTCTGTCTGAATTACATTTATTTGGGAAGACTGGTTAGAGGGATAGGTAAAACAATAGCAACATTTACTTGGGTAGTTGGAGAAGCTTTCTTAAGAGAACATAAACTTAGAATAACACAGGTAAATAGAGATCATAGGATTGCAAATGAACACGATATATTCTTGGAAAGTAGAGTAGCTGGAGACAAGGCTTAATGAGCAATTAATTATTCAAGGTTTGTTGTTGTTAGGTGCATTTGAGTCAGTTCCAACTCATAGTGACCTTGTAAGCAACAGAATGAAACACTGCCCGGTCCTGTGTGATCCTTAAAATCATTGCTATGTTTGAGCCCATTCTTGGAGCTACTGTGTCAGTCCATCTCATTCCTCTTTTTCGCTGATCCTCTGCTTTACAAAGGAGCTCTAATACCATAGTGCTTAAGGCATTTTACTGCTAACCAGAAGGCTGGAGGTTCAAACCCCCCAGCCACTCATCAGAAGGAGGGTTGGGCAATCTACTTCCATAGTGATACCACCTTGGAAACCCAAGGAGGGGTTGCTATGAGTTGGATCTGACTCCATGGCATTGAGCTTGGTTTTTTATATATGTCAGTAAGGAGCTCTGATGGTGTAGTGTCTAAGGCATTTGACTGCTAACCAGAAAGTTGGCAGTTCAAACCCACCAGCCGCTCTGCAGAAGGAAAATGAGGCTATCTAATTCTGTAAAGATTTACCACCTTGGAAACCCAGAGGAGATCACTGTGAGCCAGAATTTATTCAATGGCAGTGAGTTTGGTCTTTATTTTCTTTTCTTTTTTTTTGAGTTTTGACATATGACAATTGGTACTATCAGGTTCTCTTACTTACTTGAGATCATTTATCTTGAAAACATGTATGGAATGAGTCAATTCTGCTTGTCTGTTTCATAAAAGGATGAACTCCCTTTCTGTCTTTGCATTCCCTTTGGTAGATTGCCTATGATGTGCATCACATTTTGGCTTAATCCTTACTCAATAATAAAACTGTTCCCCATGTGCCCACCCCCCCTCGTTTTCATGGAGAGTTGGGGTTGGCAGAAGATTTTGGTTTTAATTATGCTTTACCAACAACATGCAGAATGGAGAGAAGTTGGAGGTATCTGACCCAGCTGAGGCTGAACAAGGTGATGCTCTGACTTCTGGTTTCATCTCTCATACTGCAACTAGATCTTTTTTGCAGCCTATTTAGAACCACAGTTTTCTTTTTTGTTTTTTTTGTGTTTTCTGCTGAAGTGCTGTCTAGTTCTTAAGCTCAAAAAGGCTTTCATGTGCCTTAAGGAGGAAATACGTGTGGTTAGATAAGCTTTGTCCAGACATTACAGAGTTAAAGTAGTGATGGCTCTAAGTTCAGTGTTAATGAATCAACAGCATAAATTAATTATATGTCTTTAAACAGAAATACCCATAAAACAAGGCTGGTATTGGTCCATTGAGAAAATGTTTTGACTAGAGACTAGAAGGAACCTAACTAACCATTTATTTCCCCCAGACCAATAATTCAGTACTTGCTAATTCAGTGTTCTCTGCTTTATCAAACATTACTACTGTGAATAAAGAAAGTCAACTGTACTTTTCTGATAAAAATAAAATTATAATATTTGTTACCTTAAAGAAAGACATTAATTACATTCTTTGAAGTATTATTTCTGTTACCAGAGGAAACTGCTTCCTCCTAAGATTTATTAGAGGACAAAATTTTTTATTGTATTAAACATTGAATACATAAATGACTTTTCAAAAGACAATAAAATTTATAAAAATAGGTATGAATCATTCGATGGTACATACATAGATTTTAAATGTAATATGATAAGGGGCTCTCAGTTGAGGACATCTTTGGTATATGGATGGATAGATAG